AGCCTCTTTTGGGCATCTCTGTGGCCGCTCTGGGGCATGTTCTGGGCCTGTTGGGCCTCTTGGGGCCTTCTTGGGGCTTCAAAGGCTGCCGTTGCTGGTTCGTGTTTCCCCTTGGGCCCTTCTTGGGGCCGTCTTGGGGCCCTCTTGGGCCGCCTTGGGCGCCTCTTGGGCCGCCTTAAGCGCCCTGTGGGCTGTCTTGGAGCCCTTTTTGTGGCCGTCTTGGCGCCCTCTTGAGGGCATCGTTCGCTGTCTCTGGGCCGTCTTTGGGGCCTCTTGGGCCGTCCTGGAGCTGCCTCTTGCTGCGGACGGCTCGAATTGTCGGTTCGTGTTCCCGTTTTGGGGCCCTCCTCGGGGCCGTCTTGGGGCCCTTTTGGACCGTCTTTGGCGCCTCTTAGGTTGTCTTTGGGCAGTCTTGGGGGTAGTCTTGTAGCTCCCTTGGGCGCCTCTTGGGTCGTCTCGGGGCCTTCTTGGGCGCCTCTTGGGCCGTCTTGTAGCGTCGACAGCTCGAACAGGCGAGAGCCCCAAACACATTCAAACACCTACGGACAATCACTGATTTTTGCCCCTCGGGGCCCTCCCCTCTTGGGCGCCTCTTGGGCGCCTCTTTTCGGCCTCCCGTGGCCTGCTGGGGACCATCTGGGGCGGAAGGCTCGGATCGTCAGTTCGTGTTCCCCCTCTTGGGGTCTTCTTGGGACCGTCTTGGGACCCTCTTGGACAGTCTTGGGCGCCTCTTGGGCAGTTTTTGAACCCTATTGGGCCATCTTGGGGCCCTCTTGCGGGCCTCTCGGACCGTCTTGAGGCAGTCTTGGGGGCCTCCTTCGGTCGTCTTGGGGCGGCGGAAGCTCGAAAAGGCGAGAACCCTCCCAAACACTGAACAGCCTACGGAACATCATTGATTTTTGCTCCTCGAGGCCCTCCTGGGAAGGCTCTTAGGGCTTTCTTGGGACGGCTCGAAGGCCTCTTGGGCCGTCTTGAGGCTATCTTGGGCAGTCTTGAGGCCAGCGTGGGCCGTCTGGGAGCCATACTGGGCCGTCTTGGCATGTCGGCGTCGGGAGCGCAAGTTTGCTGTATTTTGCGAGGGCTGTGGCCTCGGGAAGAGTGGTTGGTGCATGCGGCTGGGTGCGGGGAGAAGGGGCGGGGGCTTTTTACACATTATAGATACCCTATTCGACAGCACTTTGCATTCTGGCACGCCCCAACGTGCCAGGGGGCACAGTGGTGGAAATCGTGTCGGAACACCATTCCTGGGACTTCAACAACGCGAATCAACGTGACTGCCGCGTTCTGACAAGCCTCAACCGTGCCAGCGCGCAATCCCTGGGACTTTAAATTTAGGAATCCTCGAAACTGTTGCAAACTTTTGAGGCGAATGCGCGCGGCGCTAAGGCGAGGGCCGCATTTTGAAAAGGACCCTCCTGGAAGCTAGCGCAAACTTTTAGGACGAAAGTGCACGGCGCTGAGGCGAGGGTCACATGTTGTACACCACCCGCCCTCCACCCTTGAAACGGTTGCAAATGTCAAGCTTCAGGATCATGCATGGAGAGGAAGGCTCAGGCGAAACGCCGGGTCCGCTCTACCAACACGTGTGGGGGTGCGACAGGGATGTGTTATTCATACGGAAGAGGGATGGAGGAGGGGGAGGAGGGAGGAAGAAGCGGAGGAGGAGGAAGACGGAGGAAGATAAATGAGGGGAAGTTGCAGGAGGAGGCGTATGAGAAGGAGTAGTAGTAGTAGTAGTAGTAGTAGTAGTAGTAGTAGTAGTAGTAGTAGTAGTAGTAGTAGTAGTAGTAGTAGCAGTAGCAGTAGTAGTAGTAGTAGTAGTAGTAGTAGTAGTAGTAGTAGTAGTAGTAGTAGTAGTAGTAGTAGTAGTAGTAGTAGTAGTAGTAGTAGTAGTCGTAGCAGCAGTAGTAGTAGTAGTAGTAGTAGTAGTAGTCGTAGTCGTAGTGATGGTGGTGGTAGTGGTAGTAGTAGTAGCAGTAGGAGGAGGAGAAGGAGGAGGAGAAGGAGGAAGAGAGGGATGAGGGCGAGTATTTTCAACATGGGTCGTCTACGCATGGATCTATGCACAAGTTATCATAATGTAGTGTCGTACCATCTTCTACCACACCACAGGTCAGGGAGACGAAACGCATAGCATACTGCACGGACAGAAAACAATCAACCACAGTAAGGTGCAGCACGCGAAAGGTATGCTGCCTTTCCCCTCCTCCCGCCTCCTGCTTCCCTCGTCCTCGCTCCTTCCTCCCCCTGGCTGGTTTATTGCGGGCGCCGGAGTCGATCACAACGCTTCCCTCCCCCGCCCAGCGGCCCTCGCCGTTGGGGGGAGGCCCAAACAATTTTACGGAGATCGCCGACGAGGAACAGGGGCCTCGTCCCTCCCTCCCTCCTCCCTCCCTCCCTCGCTCCCTCCCTCCCGCCCCTCCTCTTCCTCCTCCTTTTCCTCCTCCTCCTCCTCCTCCCTCGGGCGTAGACCGAAGCGTCCCCGCGGCCGCCCGTGCAGTCGCTCCTCGGCACGTGGGTGGACCCGCGCGGTAGCGGCCCTAGCTGGGCTCGCGGCGCCCGCGCGGAGGGGTGGAGCGCGGCCCACGCTGTCCACGAGTGGGGGCTGGACCTCCTCCTCCCCCTCCTCCTCCTCCTCCTCCTCCGACAGCGACGACGACGACGACGACGACGATGGCGACCCTGGCGATGCGCCCGACGCCACACCGCTCACGAGGAAAGGTGGGCTGGTCTGTCCGCGCAGGATGGCGGCCGCCTGGCACCGGCGGCGCCGTTGGTACGCCTCGGTGCCTCGGCGGGCTGCAATCGGCCCCGCACCGAGTGCCTGGTTTTCGGGCAGCTCATGCTGAAAAGGCGCAACTTCCACATGAAGCCCTGGCATCGAAGCTCCAGAAGCTGCGCTCTCGTTCTCCTCCTTCTCCGGTTTATTTTAACTATCCTGCACACTCTGTCTCTTCTCCTGCCCCCCCGTTTCTTCTCCTCCTCCCTCGTTCGCCTGCTCCTCCCCTCTTTTTTTTCCCTCTCTCTCTCTCTCCTCCTTGTTATTCCGCCTTCTAATCATCCTCCCGCTTCCGTTGTGATTGGCCAGGAAGTTCAACATAGTTTTTTCAGGACGAAGCTGCTGCGTCAGTCAGGCATACCACTGCTACTCCATGTTCTGTCGCTGGATTGTAGGCCATGTGCAGTCAATCCGCATAGTAAGGATGAGCGACTTTCCAAAGTTACCCTTGCATCCTTCCTCTTCGGCCCATCCTCAGCCGCTTTCGCTGGTCGCGTCCCGCCCGCAAAGTGTCCACATGGCATTCCAAGGACCTTGTATCCTTATCGTGCGTCCTTATTATAGGGATTGACTGTATGTTTGATCGCCTCTTCTGCCCAGATCTATGCGTTCGCCACCAGCGCTGGATCCTATGATTGAGGCAACACCGTCTTGGTCATGTCCACCGACGCCTACGCCGTGCGACTGGTGGGGTGGGCCAGAGGAAGGGGTACGTCTCGGGACGGGAAGGAGGCGCACGTCGTGGTGGAGGTGGAGGAGGAGATGGAGGAGGAAGAGGAGGAGGAAGAGGAGGAGGAGGGGAGGAGAAAGTGGAAGATGATGATTGTGATGCTGATGAGGATGATGACGATGGTGAGGCGGATGATGGTGATGCTGACGATGCTGATGATGCTGATGCTGATGATGCTGCTGTTGCTGCTGATGATGATACTGATGATGATGATGATGATGATGATGATGATGATGATGATGATGATGAAGAAGAATAATAATGCTGATGATGATGCTGCTTCTGATGATGATGAGGAGGAGGAAGAGGAGGAGGATGAGGAGGAGGAGGCATGATAAGAAGAAGAGGTTGTGGGAGGCCCTGTCTTGGGTCCTCGTCGCCACGTGGACTCGGACGGTGCCGCCGCCCTTCGTCTGAAGTGATGGTGGGCTGCCTGAGCGGGGCGCGAGAGGCGTCCCCCCATCGGGCAGGAACGTTCGGGGCGTCTGCGGCCGTCAGGACCGCTCGCGCTTTCCAGGCGGTGCGCAGAGAGTAGCCACCCGAGCGCTGGTTGCGAGTGCAGAGTGGCAGTGGCCGCCACCGTGTGCCCAGGCTGGTCACAAGTGGGAGGTTGTCCTACCCAGTTGGTGTCTCGGGCCCCTTGTTTGTATCAACGGGTCTGCTCTGGGCCCATAATTGCCCAAGCTTTCCCTTGCGGGATGGGCGGTCGTTCCCGTGGCTTTCGACGGGCACGTTCTGGGATCTGCACATGGGCCGTTGCTACACGCGATGTAAGCCAGCGGCTGCGGTCAGGTTTACGCTTCCTTGATGAGTCTCAGACTGGCGGGGTCCGCTTCCATGGAAGTTGCGACGGATTGCAAGGCGGCCCAGGGCACCTGGGAGAGAAGGGTCTCAATAATGATTTTGCGAAAAAAATGGTTTTGCGAAATTTGAGTGTTCTCAGCTTTGGGTTGAGATCTGCAGCCTTGATAGTGAGATCGGTTTCGACATGATCATAGTACCCAGGCCCGTTGGTTAGGAGCTGATTGGATGTGGTGGGTCAACAAGAAGGCTGACGAGCTAACCCGAAAAGGCGCCTGGGCCCAGCACCACAATCCTCGGACCCGTGACAACTTCTGTGAGTTGATGCCCGTGATTCGGCAGTCGGCATGTATGATAGTTGATATAATGGACGACCTGGCCCTGAAGGATTGTCCTGATGTCTCGAAGGTGCGTGGACCCCGTCGGGCCAGGCCCTGCCTGTTGGAGCTTGTTCTCCCACGGGCCATGCAGCAGAGTGCGTAGCCAAAGGATCCTATATGTATTTGCGCTGCGGCGAGCGAGGGAAGACTCGTGCTGCTGAGAGTGTGTTTCCCTGCGGTGGGCCGCCTAGGGTTGCGCGGGCCAGCTTTTCTTCCCACAAGATGTGGCTCATGGGGGTTAAGGTTGCGTGGTGTGTTCACTGCGGCGCCTTCGGGAGCTCTCGAGCCCGTCCCTACCTCCTCCAGGAGTGCAACACGAGTCCGCGTAATCGCCACGTAAAGGTCTTTTGAAAGTGCTGAATCGAAGGACAGATCCCAGCACGAAGGCTTTCGTGGGGAGATCGGTTCCTCTAACCTGGTAGCGGGCTGGCTGGGCCTCCAAGGAGGCCAGCCTGCCGACTGGTTGATCTTTTGTCCCTCTGCAGCGCTGCTCTGCAGAGGCTCGTGCGGTGTGAGCCCAGCGGTTATGCAGACGGCGTTGCTTCGAAGGCCGTGCCGCCGGGCCCCGCCTTCCCGCTTCCTTCTCAGCCTTTGTTTCTTGGGCGCTGTATTGCAGGCGCTCTGTCAGCGGTCACAGACAAGACCGCATCGGAGCCAACAGGAGCCAACAGGAGGAGGGGGAGGAAGAGGAGGAGGAGGAGGAGGAGGATGAGGAGGAGGAGGGAGGGAGGGAGAGAGGGAGGGAGGGAGAGAGGGACGAATGGAGGGATAGAGGGAAGAGAAGGAGGAGGAGGAGGAGGAGGATGACGAATAATAATCCTAATCTACTACTGCGAGGGCCATTACTCTTATTATTTCTACTGCTACTTTTGATACTGCTGATGCTAGCAATACACTTGGCATGAATACTAGCAATACTAATGTTCATTGTACTACTGATGCGGAAGAAGACGACACATACTACACGACACAGGATATTATTAATAAGACAATTGGTACGCCACATAATAAGGAGCGTACGGCTAATGTTAAAACTTCTAAGACGATAAGAAGATTACTACGACACCGCAGTATCTCTAATAACAATCGTGCTACGATTTACGTTAAGAAGAATTCTGCCACTACTAATATTAAGAATGCAACCACCATGAAGAAGACGAGTCCTAATACCAATGCTAAGATACATAGTCGCACTACTAGTAACAATACGTAGGCGAAGCGAGGATGATGAGGAGGAAGAGGAGGAGGAGGAAGAGGAGGAGGAGGAAGCGAAGGAGGAGGAGAAGGGGGAGGAGGACGAGGAGAATAGAATACTGCGAGCTCCGTCGCTCAGAGTCTGGCCGACGTAAACAGGGGTAACAACTAGGAGGATAAGGGGGCGGAGGAGGAGTAGGAGGAGGAGGAGGAGGGGGAGGATGAGGATAAGAAGGAGGAGTTGGAGTTGGAGTTGGAGGATGCGGAGGAGGAAGGGGCGGAGGCGGAGGAGGAGGAGGGGGAGGAGGAGGAGTTGGAGGAGGAGGATGAGGAGAAGGAGGGGGATGATGATGATGATGATGTTGTTGTTGATGATGAGGACGTTGATCATGATGAAGCTGATGATGATGCTGCTGCTGATGCTGATGATGCCGATGCTTATGACGCTGATAATCATGTGATGGTGATGTTGATGATGATGCTGCTGATGATACTGCTGATGATGATACTGATGAGGATGACGATGATGACGATGCATATGATGATGCTGATGATGATGATGATGATGATGATGCTGCTGATGCTGATGAGGATGACGCTGTTGATAAGGATGATGATGATGAGGAGAAGGAGGAGACGGTTGACGATGATGAGGAGGGTGATGAGGGTGAGAAGGATGCGGAAGACTGGTGATAGCACTGGACGGGAAGGAGGCGCACGTCGTGGAGGAGGAGGAGGAGGATAATAATGAAGAGGAGGATGACGCGGATGCTGAGGCGAGGAGGAGGATGAGGAGGATGATGATGATGATGAGGAGGAGGAGCAGGACGATACTGATAATGCTGATGACGATGATGATGCTGCAGCTGATGATGAGACTGATGCTGGTGATTTTGATTATGATGATGATGCCGATGCTGCTGATGCTGATGCTGCTGATGCTGATGCTGATGATGATGATGATGCTGTGATGATGCTGGTGATGACGCGGATGAGGCTGACGATGATGGTGATGCCGATAACGATGTTGTTGCTGTTGCTGATGATGATGTTGATGCTGCTGATGCTGCTGCTGATGATGATGCTGATGCTGATGCTGCTGCTGCTCATGATACCGATAATTCTGATGACGCTGATGATGATGCTGATGCTGATGCTGAGGATGATGATGATGATGATGATGATGATGATGATGATGATGATGATGATGATGATGATGCGGATGCTCATGATGATGCTGATGATGATGATGATGATGCTAGTGATGATGATGAAACTGATGATGCTGGCGATGGTGATAGTGCTGATGGTGCTGATGCTGGTGACGATGATGATGATGATGCTGATGATGGTGCTGATGGTGATGATGCTGATGCTAAGGATGCTGCTGATGATGATGCCGATGCCGATGCTGATGGCGAGGATGATGATGATGCTGATGTCGATGATGCTGATGCTACTGCTGATGATGATGCTTGTGACGATGATGAGGATGATGATGATGCCGATGACGATGGTGATGGCGAGGATGATGATGATGCTGATGACGATGATGCTGATGCTGCTGATGATGATGCTTGTGTTGATGCTGCTGCTGCTGATGCTGATGATGATGATGCCGATGACAATGATGATGCTGTTGCTGATGTTGATGATGATGCGTATGATGATGCTGATGTTGGCGATTATGATGATGATGATGGTGATGCTGATGCTTATCATGCTTATGCTGATTATGACGATGCTGTTGATGATGATGATGATGATGATGATGATGATGATGATGATGATGATGCGGCGGACGACGATGATAATGATGCCGCTGTCGCTGAGGATGATGATTACGATGTTGCTGCTGATGATGATGATGATGATGATGATGCTGCCGCTGCTGATGATGATGCTGATGATGATGCTGCTGAAGATGAAGATGATGATGATGATGATGATGATGATGATGATGATGATGATGATGATGATGATGATGATGATGATGATGATGATGATGATGATGATGATGATGATGATGATGTGATGATGATGATGATGATGATGATGATGATGATGATGATGATGATGATGATGATGATGATGATGATGATGATGATGA